CCCATGACCTCCTCCTTGGCTTCAATTAACATGCTAGAGCAGCTCTGAGAACTCAGAGAAGCATTTTACTTACTAGATTATTGGTTTATTATAAAATGCTATAACTCAGGAACAGCCAGAGGGAAGACATGCATAGGGGCAAGGTGTGGGAAAAGAGCATGCATCTTCCAAGTCCTCCTAAATATAGCCCTCTTATCAAATCTCCATGTGTTCAACAACCAGTAAGCTCTCTGAACTCAGACTTTTGGGTTTTTATGGAGGTTTCATTCCATAGGCATGACTGATTGAATCAGTCACTGGTGGCCAATGATGTAACCTCCAGCCTCTCTCCCCTCCCTGGAGGTCAATGGATAGGACTAAAAGTTCCAACTCTCCACTCACAGAGTTGGTACCCCTGGCAACCAGTCCCCACGTGACCTAGGGGCATTCCCAAAGTCACCTCCTTAACAAAAGACACTTTTTTTCTCTCCCATCACTTAGGAGATTCCAAGGGTTTTAGAAGCTCTGTGCTAGAAATAGGAAGAATGTATTTGTATTTCTTATTACAAATCATAATATCCTGGCTGCCCTTCCCATTAGTGTCCCATAGTTTCCAGTGTTTCTTGTCCATAGAAACATAACTGTCTTCTATCCTTTTCTTCAAGTCTCTGCCCTCTGCTAGGAAACTACAACCTCATCTGACTATCCTCCTGTCCTAATTATTTGTGAATGGTGACAGGATTATTCTAGAGAGAAGGTTTTAATCAAAGACTTCTAAAGGCTGAAATTTCTGGTAATGTTGACAGGTGGACTGAGGGGAGAGAGTGAGACTTTGGGGGGTACATAATTATATACACCTAATTTTTTAGAGAGAGAGCACACACGCACACACACACATGCATGCGCACATTTAAGATGTAGGGAGGGGCAGAGGGAGAGAGAGAATCTTAAGCAGGCTCCACACCCACCATGGAGCCCAACATGAGTCCCGCTCCATCCCCAGGACCCTGAGATCATGACCTGAGCTGAAATCAAGAGTCAGATGCTTAATTGACTGAACCACCCAGGTGCCCCTATATCCACCTAATTTTTAAGTCCTAATTGTAATAAGTGCTACAAAGGAGACATAAAGAGTATTTACAGTCTTGGAAGGGTTTTAGGCAGATGACAGAAGGGATCAGATTTAGATTTTATTAAAGTTCCTTCTGCCAGCAATGTGGAGAATTATTAGAAAGAGGCAAAAACAGATCCAGGAAGACTAGTGAATGAACTAAGGCAGAAACCCAGGTAAGAGGTAATGGAAAGTGGTCTAAGGATGGGGCAGAAGAGATTGATAGAGGTGAATAGGCCTAATCAGTACTTAGGACATGGGATGGAGAGGATTTTGGAACTTATTAAGTCACCCAGTCATGTGTTTTGTAGTACCTTCTACATGTTTTTCTGGAATCCATCAGAGAATAAGACCACGTCCCTGTACTTATAGCTGAATTTCTTTTTTTTTTTTTTAAAGATTTTATTTATTGAGAGAGAGAGAATGAGAGACAGAGAGCACAAGCGGGAAGAGGGTCAGAGGGAGAAGCAGACCCCCTGCTGAGCAGGGAGCCCGATGTGGAACTCGATCCAGGGACTCCAGGATCATGACCTGAGCTGAAGGCAGTCGCTTAACCAACTGAGCCACCCAGGCGCCCTCTAGCTGAATTTCTAGTGGGGCAACAAGATAATACACATGATGGCAGGTTTTTTTTTCCCCTCTTTCTTTCTGTTTTTATTTATAGTCAGATGAAACAGATGCCTGTTTCTTCCAGAATTGTTACCCATTTACTTAGGTTTGGTTTGCAGGGGGGTTCCTATGAATGTTTTTGCTTCTTTTGTGCTTCAGCCAGAAGTACTGGGGAAGAGAGGGAGGGCTTGAGATTAAATTCTTAGTGAAAGCTGATACGAGACATAGAACGAACGTAAGGTGCTGGAAAATTCAACAAGAAGCAATAACAGGGCTGGTTGTTGTTCCTCTTGGCCTCGGACTAGAAATGCACGCTATGCTATCCCCATACTCAGTTGCTTGTGCGACACATCTCTATCCTGAACCAGTGTTTCTTAGAATTAAAAAAAGGGCATATATATATATATTTATGCCCTGTAGCCCGTGTATACAGCTCTAACTTCTCTCCTAAAATCACGGGTCATGTAATATTGTGGCCAGGAGAGTCCTTGTTGGCAGCTTCAGAAGGTACTGGGTTTACACGTCATGGATGCAACACCTAAGAACGTTACATTAACAAATAGAACAGGGGCGCCTGGGTGGCTCAGTCCGTTAAGCGTCTGCCTCCATCTCAGGTCATGATCCCAGAGTCCTGGGATCGAGTCCCACGTTGGGCTCCCTGCTCAGCGGGAAGCCTGCTTCTCCCTCTGCCTGCTGCTTCCCTTGCTTATGCTGACAAATAAATAAAATCTTAAAAAAAAAAACCAAATAGGACATCTATGATAAACTCTTGGGAAAGCTTAGATTTCCACTTTACAAGTTTGCAAAAGAAGTTGAACTGCTTTTTTTTTTTTTGCCTGTAAAGACTCACATAGTCTTTTTCGTTTCTATTTGACTCTAAGCTTTTTCTGAAGATGGAAATAGTTCTAAAGGGAGGCTGGAATGGAGGTGTGTATGCTGTCCTCTTGCAAATATCTGTTCTGTTTACGACGCTTCTGGACCACAGCGGCTTAACTGGTTCTCCGAAGGGAGTGGAGAAGGGATAATCACAGAAGGTCAGAGGATTAACATTTCCCCACAAAGTTTTTGATAGAAAGTCTCAGATCAAGTGAAGCAGAGTAGAAATAAAACCAAATATTCTGCAATTTGTGAATTTTTCAAAGGGCGCCCATATGTAAAATTTCAGGTTTGTGTTTTGTGTGTGTGTGGGTTTTAAACCCTGTGAGGTAACCATAACAGATACTATCGTTTCTGGTTTTTCGGTGACGGGAAGCAGGTCTGGGACACAGCCTAAGTAACTTTCCCATCATCACTTGCTAGTGTGGCACCGTGGCTAATGCCCAGATATTCTGATAGATGCTCGTTGCACGACGGTTCACTTTGTTTTCCCACATACCCTCCCCTTGAGCCTAGAGACCATACGTTTTTAGAGTCTTTCTGCTCACATTTCAAGTGGCAGCCGGGGAGCTCAAGGTGGTCACCCCGGCATCTCACGTTCTCAGGTGTTGCATTCGGGACGCGTAAAGCCATCCTGATGCCGGAGTGTATGTGGAGCATACACACCTCCATTCCAGCCTCCCTGGAATTTGCATCTCCAGAAAAAGGATGGAGTGCAGAGAGGTCCTCAGAACAGAGCCAGGGGACAGGCCTTCGCATCATTTATTCATTTGTCCTTGGGTGGGACGCTCCTGTTTGAAAGCCAGCTTTGCTCCCTCCTCTCAAGTGGACATTCTTCCCCGTGTCTCCTTGATACGGCTCTCTTCTGCTTCCCAGTCTTCTGAGCACGAGCGACCGTGTCTGGCACCGAAACTGCTAGAGCAAGTAATTGTTCACCCTTCTCTCAAACAAGAAAATAAGAGGTAAAATATAGCACCTACCGTGCAGCCAATTATAGGAAGAGTTCCGCAAGAGGACCCCTGTTCCCAGACACCTTTTATTCTCCAATTCATACTGAATCAGGAGCATTTTCTCCATGTGTTTAAACATCGTTTGAAAATATTTTTCATGATTCTTCAGCGTGTCATCGTATGAATTTAGCATCATTTATTTACATGTTCTTCTATTTTGGATATTTGGGTTACTTTCTCATTTTTTCTGTGATGAATAGCGTAGGGGGAGAAAACGGACTCCTTGAAGAAGGGAATTATTAAGTACGTGAAGAAATACAAATCCGGTTTAAATGCTTTGCTTTAGTCATTACTTCAGTAGTACATTGTAACAGTAATTTCAATCAGGTAAATACATGATTAGTTTCCTGAAATAATGCCATTGTGATATTCGTTTTATTTTCAGATAGGGAAAAAGAATAAAGACGGGGGTACCTGGGTGACTCAGTCGGTGAAGTGTCTGCCTTCAGCTGAGGTCATGATCCCAGGGTCCTGGGATCGAGCTTCATGTCCGACTCCCTGCTCAGCGGGCAGTCTGCTTCTCCCTCTGTGCCCTCCACCCCATTTGCGCTCTCTCTCTCTCAGATAGATAAAATAAAATAAAATTAAAAAAAATAAAATAAAATGAGTTTTCTTAGATAAGTCAGTGCCTTACTCTTACAATTGACCCTTGAACAATGCAGGGGTTCAGGGCACTGCCTGGCCCCCCCATGCAGTCAAAAATCCACATATAACTTGACTCCCCCCAAACATAACTACTCATAGCCTACTGTTGACCAGAAGCCTTACTGATAACATAAACAGTTGATTAATACATATTCTGTATATGTGTTATATACTGTATTCTTACAATAAAGTAAGCTATAGAAAATGTTAAGAAAGTCATAAGAGAAAATACACTTACAGTACTGTATTTATTGAAAAAACCCTGCGTGTCAGTGGACCTGTGTAGTTCAAACCCATGTGGTTCAAGGGTCAACTGTATTTTGATTCTGTTTGGCTAGCTCAGCATGAGAGTCACATGGTTCTACTTTTGGGCAAACTTTGAGGGAGAGGACCATTAAGTAAAAATGGAACTGGGAAGTCACATAAGTTAATAAAAAGAAAAAAGACAAAGAAGGTTTTTACCATCAGGGCAAAAGAGGGTTTCTTCTGTCCCACATCCGTGGTGGATAAAATGTGTCAGTATGCAGGAATTTGACTTGTTGCCTTGCATAAACTCACTATTCTTAGGATGAGGTCATACGTAATTAATCACCTGTCTTGCATTCTTTCCCAAGTGATGGCTCTTAGTGTTCACACGGGTGATAACTTTGGTTTCCCGAGTTCAGGAGCCCCAGGACTGCCAGTGAAGGAAGAGGAGGCAATGGTGGTTATGGGACCTTTGTGCTACTGTAAGGCAGTGGGTAATTGTCTTTTTTCTTCTTAACTTGTAGTGCTTGAAACAATACTTGCACCTGGCCATCCGAGAAGGCTGTGGGTCTCCCATTGCTTGCCCCGACACAGTGTGCCTGAACCACGGGACCCTGCAGGAAGCGGAGGTATGCACGAGTCCCATGACCTTCCCTCTTGCCTGTGGACGTTATTCCCTAGGATCTTGACTATGTACTTCCCTGCCGGGGCGGGGGGTCTAGAAACAAAATACAGAGGCTTACTTTTTAAAGGAGTACTTTATTGCCACACACCTATGGATTCTTCATACAGACTGTTAAAACTGTTACTTACCTCAGTTCTATTGATAAATGCTATCTTCGTGTCGAAGAAGCTCTAGAATAGGCGAAGGTGCTAGAAATCAGGTTTACCAGATGTGCCGTTTGGAGGCTGAAGAGTGAGTGGTCTTGTGATCATTAATACTTTAAAGATAAACAGATGACAGATTTTAACCAGTTATAGACAATATGAAGTACTGCGATTCTACAAAGGTAGACGGAGTTGAATCATTTCCTTTCATTTGATGTTTATCAGGCATCAGAAATATCCTTTTTGAATGAGTTCTCCCATTTTCTTAAGATTGTGATAAATCCCTTTCCTTTGTTTCTTCAGTCCCCAATCAGGAGCTTGCCCTTGAATCTACTTTTTTTTTTTTAAAAAGGTTTTATTTATTGATTTATTTATTTGAGATAGCACAAGTCGGGGCCAGAGGGAGAGGGAGAAGCAGGCCCCCCGCTGAGCAAGGAGCCCAATATGGGACTCGATCCCAGGACCCTGGGATCATGACCTGAGGAGAAGGCAGACGCTTCACTGACTGAGCCACCCAGGTGCCCCTTGAATCTGCTTTTAATCATCAGGTCCTGCTCACTTTATTTATTTGTGAGAGAGAGAGAAAGAGAAGGAGAGCACAAGCAGAGGGAAGAGGCAGAGGGAGAAGCAGGCTCCCCGCTGAGCAGGGAGCCCGACGTGGGACTCGATCCCAGGACCCTGAGATCGTGACCTGAGCTGAAGGCAGATGCTTAACTGGCTAAGCCACCTAGGCCCCCGGGACAGCTTACTTTAATTCAGAAGATAACCAATGCTAGCCCATCTTTGGGAAGATTGTAAGCATTGCTCCATTTACTTCTTTGCTTTTGGCTTATTAGAAAATTATGGATTCTGTTATGGGAAGAGGTCCCAAGAAACAGAGGAAATAAGTTATTCGTTCAGCAAACATAGCAAACATAGCTCACCTGCTGTGCATTAGGTGCTTTCTGGGTGCTTTCATAGCTGGTTTACCATCTAATCCCTTCAACAGACTTAGAAATGGACGCCCAGGGGGTTTAAGTAATTTGCCCAAGGGTGCATATCTAAACACAGAAGATTTAGAAGTGATTCATTTTAGGAAAATCAGGAAATAATGGGATGTTTTTGATAAAAAAAAGTAATATTGAATATGTCATCCTGTGGTGAGAAATATTACTTTCTTTTGTGTGAGTAAAGTAGAGAAGGAAATTAAAGTGAGGAAAGATTGGGTGAGCTATACAACTTGGAAGTGGGTTTTAAAGTAGGACTCGGGTGTTCAGGAGCATCTTTTGATGCATAATCCTTCTAGAAAAGGTGCTTCCTTTTTGATTTGCTTCTGTCATATTCTGATCAGTCAGCAGTGTTTATTAAGTGTGCAGAGTGTGCCAGGCCCTGTTCCAGGTCAGGATAGAGAGGTGAGTAAGATCGGCCCAGTGCTATCCTCATGGAGCTTCTGATCTAGCAGAGTGACATTAACCTGATGACAAGTGAGATTAACCACAGGCCTGTATCCTAGACCTTGTGCTGTCCAATCCAGTAGTCGCTTGTTCCATATATTACTTACATTTAAATTAATTAAGATTAGGGGCGCCTGGGTCGATCAGTTGGTTAAGCGTCTGCCTTTGGCTCAGTCATGATCCCAGGATCCTGGGATTGAGCCCTGCATCAGGCTCCCTGCTCATCAGGGAGTCTGCTTCTCCCTTGCCCTCTGCCTCCCACTTCCTTTGCTTGTGCTCTCTCTCTCTCTGTCAAATGAATAAATAAAATCTTAAAAAAATTAAGATGAAATAAAATTAAAAAGTCATTCCTTTGGTTGTCCTAATCATGTCCTGAGTGCCCCGTAGCCACATGTGGCTCATGGCTGCCAGATTAGACAGCACCGAATATGACATCTCCAACATTGCAGAAAGTTCAATGGCATGGCGTTGTTGTAGACTTTTTTTTTTTTTTTAAGATTTTTTTTTTTTTTTTTTATTTGACAGAGAGAGATACAGCGAGAGAGGGAACACAAGCAGGGGGAGTGGGAGAGGGAGAAGCAGGCTTCCCGCAGGGCGGGGAGCCCGATGTGGGGCTCGATCCCAGGACCCCGGGATCATGACCTGAGCCAAAGGCAGATGCTTAACGACTGAGCCACCCAGGCGCCCCTGTTGTAGACTTTTAAATGAATGGTAACCACTAGCTGTTGACAATTCGGGTATCAAATGTTAGAGCTGCTGTGTTCAGACAAGTGGGTGAGGAGAGTCTGTCTCTCTGGAACAGAATTTAACTTTTCTGATTTTCTTAGTACAGAATTTTCTTTTCATATTCGCCTGCAGTTCTCCCCTCCGTCTTATTTCTTACCCTTTTCCCATCATACATTCTTATCCCACTTTCCCGGTACTCCTTCCATGTACCCAGTTTGACTCTAAAAACAGTTTAACTTTTAGGCTGTATGGAAACCAAACAATCCCACAGTGTCATCCTGTGGTGACAGGCAAAGCAAAGCAGGGGGAGTGGCAGAGGGAGAGGGAGAAGCAGGCTTCCCGCTGAGCAGAGAGCACAACGTGGGGTTCGATCCCAGCACCCAGGGATCACGACCTGAGCCAAAGGCAGATACCTACTGAGCCACTCAGGCGCCACCCCGCTTTGTGTGTGTGTGTGTGTGTGTGTGTGTGTGTGTGTGTGTAGCCCAGTGTGGGGCTCGAACTCTTGACCCTGAGATCAAGACCTGAGCTGAGATCAAGAGCCGGATGCTTAACTGACTGAGCCATCCAGGCGCCCCTATAATAGGTAGCTCTTAATCCAGATATGATTGAGTATATCATAATGGGGCTTATCTGCCTTATGCTTGACTGGATTCTGTCTCTACGACTATTTCTTCTGACTTTCAAAAAATGTTTAATTATACAGGTAACACATAAATATACTTTGCATGTTAAAAATCGTTCTGGTTAAGACTCAAGTTCCCTTGCGCAGCTGCTGTTTATGTTAAAATACATGGTTCTTCATCATTCACTGTCTTATAAAATGCATGTAGGTAGGACATTTCTTCATCTTCAGAGGACCCCAGGCAGTTAAGCTCTTTGCTCCAAATGCTTTCCAGTGTAAATCTAGCCCATGTGGTTGCCCATGTTCCTTGCTTCTGCCCCCGCTCACTGTGGGTCCTGCCTGCCTTCTTACTGCTTCCAAATGAGCTCAACGGTGGCTCTGCCCCTGAACTTTTATTCATCAGCAATAGCTCCATTAGCAAAGCCTTTAATGCCCAATCCAAGTACTGTTTGCTTCTGGAGGAAAACAGTAGAAAAGGCACCTTCGCTTCCATGTCACGCAAGCTGGTGGGAGGCTGGGGGCCCTTGGAAAAGTAAAACTTGCCCTCCCTGCATCATCTGGTAGTTTCAGCTGGTGGTGGGCTTTTCTCATGTACCTGATCCGGGAATCTTGTCAACTATGGAATTACGAGAGGTGGGAGGCAGACTGTTCTGGCAGCATTACTTCAGGCAAGGCCCTGGGAGTTCATAGGCCTGTTAAAAAGGTGATGACTACTGGAGCTGTTCCCTTACCATGTTAGGGAAGTCACGAGCCATCCCCCACTGGCGGAGCCTGAGCCATTTGTCGTGGCCCAGTAAAATTTGAGCGGTGAGCGCATACCTACCATTACATGGCCTGAGAAATTCAACTTCTTCCCTCTGCCAGTTGGCAGTGGAAGGCAGGGGACAGCTTCTCAACAACCAAGTCTCCTTCCAAGTCCTGGGGCATTGAAGTGACCAGCCTGCATCTTCCTGCGAGAGCCGCCCCCCCCCATGCCCCAGAGCAAGGATGGGGGCAGCTGCTCGTGCCAAGAATGGGGGCTCCAGAATTTCTATAGGAGGGGGCTTAGGCTGTGGGGCACTGTGGAGGACTAGGAGAGAGGAAGGGGGGCGTGGAGTACTAAGGAATTCGAAGCTACATTTGCAAAATAAATACAGATTTTACTCATGTCGCATGTTTATCAGGGTGGCTCTGGGCAAGGCTGCTGGAGTTCTAGCGAGCCACGTGCTCCCCGCATATGATCCCTCAGCACAGCCCCCACTTGCTGTGTCCTCTTGTCACACTCTTTCTTCCCAGCATCACAGTGTGAGGTGGGGCAGAGGGAAGATAAGGATGCCCAGCCAAGCAGCTAGGTTCCTGTTGCTGTGGGTTAAGGATCTGAATGGGAAGGGACCAAGTATGTCTCTAATAACCTTTGGCTGCGAAGCGTGTTAGCAGGACAAGAGTCGAACCTTGGGGTGGCGAAGGATAAAGGAACCTGCCCCTGCCAGCGTTGATAGATATTTTTAGGGTTCCAGTTGAATTTTGCTTTGGAATGGATTTAAAGCTTTGCTTTAAAACTGCATCTAAGAGGGGCGCCTGCGTGGCTCAGTCGTTAAGCGTCTGCCTTCGGCTCAGGTCATGATCCCAGGGTCCTGGGATCGAGCCCCGCATCGAGCCCCGCATCGGGCTCCCTGCTCGGCGGGGAGCCTGCTTCTCTCTCTCCCACTCCCCCTGCTTGTGTTCCCTCTCTCGCTGTCTCTCTCTCTGTCAAATAAATAAATAAAATCTTTAAAAAAAAAACCAAAAAAACTGCATCTAAGTGGAGAATAATGTTTCTGTTTCTAAGCTTCTTCTTCACCTAAAGGCAACTATAAGAAGGGTAAGCAGCAGTGGGTTGAACGCATCACATGGGTGGGCACATGGACAAATCCCTTTTACCCATGGGGGAGCCATGGGAGAAAGGCAGAGGAGGATGTGGGAGGGCATCCTGAAGCCTCTGGAGAACAGGGGAAAAAGCAACAGCAAAAGCGGCCCTCTTCAGGGAGCGGTGGGAACA